CCGTATTATCATCCGGTAGGAAATATTTTCATTCCAAATACCAGGGTAGATCAGAACTAGATCATCAACACAAGGAAACTCAATTTACATTCGCGTCTGAATGAGTTTTAAGAGCTTCAAGCTTAAATGAGATATCAACAAATCTTTACTAATACTTCTTTACATGAACTTGAGCTTCTTATTAAACATAAAAACATCCATTTATATGTTTAAATACGGATATTTATTTGCTTCCGATATTTCGTAAATATTTCTTTGCTTCGTAGGACAGTAGTCATCTGTAGTGTCATGAAGTTGCCTTAGAAAACTTGGTGAGTATAATTAAAATCCTAGTACGTGAAACCTCCAGGAAAGAAACCTCTATTTACGACCATTTTTGGGAAGAACGAAATTTTTTCCATAGACTTTATGTTAAAGAGAACCTTTAGGAGCGACCATAAAAACCTCTCCAAGCCACCGGACAAACCACTAATGTTGAAAATATCAAATAAGAAAAACAATCAAAAGCAAAAAATATTTATAAAACAAATAAGTAGAATCAAAGTGCTCTTTGAATACATTTTAATTCATAGAGCATTTTGTGAGTGGCTCTTATTTAGAGAGATCTTTTGACGATTTCGGAAAGAAATCGACAACCTCACTAAGGACGATGATATTGTGGCGTAACTACCACTACTTAAAGTTTAACATCATTCACTAGTATATAAAGCATGCTAACTTGATTTTATCACGAGGTACCTTTTGATAGATGACGGTTGGTATTGTCGATTAACCCAGACCCCCACATTGGTTACGCCTACTTCGATGGATGGTCCACATTGCACGGTTGACTTGCTATTTGTGAATGCATCATTCACCTCCTGCGCTGTTGCTTCTCAGTCTCGTCTCGAACAGTCACATAACGTCTACACTCTCAACGCCTGCATACTCTCGACTGCTAATGGCAACACAGAAGCGACTTCGATTGTGATGTTAATACACCTCTCACATTCAGCACTCAAAAATTCCGGAGACTCTCTCCCGGTCCTTCACAAGTACATCAACTAGTGAGATCTGTTCATCGAATCTTATCCCTGATAAAATTCTGGTGGGGGAGTACTGTGGCGTAACTACCACTACAAAAGTTTAACATCATTCACTAGTATATAAAGCATGCTAACTTGATTCTATCATGAGGTACCTTTTGATAGATGACGGTTGGTATTGTCGATTAACCCAGACCCCCACAATATCAATGATTTAAACCGTATCAATGATTTAAGCGGCCGTAATTTTCTGGCATCCCATGAAATGCATGTGATACAGCATTGAAAATTTTGGTTATATTATACTTTTATTTTATCATTTAAACATATCGCCGATTGTAACCTAACGTTTTACGCTTAAAGATAAAAAAGGTTTCTTACTTTAGACTGAGAATATTTATTTTTTTAAAGTAACTATCAAGTGTTGAAATAAAACAAAGTTTTGGTATTTAAAAATTTTTTCCCGTTATACATCATTACTCGAAAATGTCAGCGGAGCATTAAAAATTAATATATTTCAAGAAGTAGTACCGCTCTATAAAATACTTTTTTCAAATCTTTACAAATAGTTGGGATTTGGGCGATTTTTGAGTGGCACTCCTATTCAATGTTGTCCTAACCTTTTGCCGCAGAATTTTCACTTAACACATTTTCTTACTTTTTTCATTATTTTGTTTTAATTTAGGTGAGAGTAAAGTATTATTTATAGAATTTTAATAACTTATGGTTATGAAATATGGATAGATAAGCGCAAATGCGTCCCTCGACAAGTATAGACTTGCGGTTCACTTCTTGACTATAACTTTTCAATTTCGCAGTAATTTAGATCAAAGAAAAACAGTCATTCATCATTGAAATTTCATTAATTTACGAAATCAATTACTGTTTCATTTTTGAATATGAATGGAAAAAAAAATTAAAACCCCCTTTTTTTGGGATTTTGAATTTTAGTAGTACAAATATATTTCCGATAATCTAAAAAATACCAAAATATATTTTTACTCGTAATTAGAGCGTCAAATAAGGAATATATAAAACGGGACAACGGTGTTCTACCTACTTAAAAACGATAATGAAGTAAATANATATATATATATATATATATATAATGTATTTCAAAATATTTCAAACTTGTTAGCGAATTTTATAGGGGAAGTGATTTTGAATTGATTTTTGCAGCCGCTTAACCTTTAGTGAAACGGGGAAATCCCCTTCCCTTTTTATTTGCATTTCATACGGGATTCTATGCCAAAAATCAATTTACGAGAAAACGTGACAGAAATTTTTAAAGCATGGAACTATGATGTTATAGATTATTCTATTCATAACAGTTTTGCTAAAGCTGAATTCTTCGTCAGTACGGAGAACGAAGATGATGTTCCTTTCAGAAGAACTTAAAAAAAAAAAAAAAAAATGTGGGTACAGATAAGGGAGAACCACGAAATTAACACTGATGTACTATTAATTAATCAATGGTTTTTTCCCCTTCTTATTCTGAAGCTGAAACCACAGAAATTATTTTGAACAGTGTGAAAAATAAAAAAATAATACTGCAATAAATTGTGACGATGAAGATGAAGACATTACCAAACTTTCGTATAATATAATCAAGAACTTTTCAATTTGCTTAAAAATTCTTTTGATATAGTGATCGAAAGGTAAAATTAACATTAAAGGAGTCTAAATTCTCCTGGCCAAAATATTGAGACCCTATTTCCCATATTTCGGCTATTTTGGGAATCAGAATTTCGAATCAGTCGAAAAAAAGATATGTTTATTTAGATAAAGTACGTCTTTGTGTCCGATTTCGTATCTCAAAATAGTGTTAGCAGTAATTACTCAGCATATTTGAGGTCATCCCTTCGAACCTTTAAGATTGAGTCCTAGAACGCGAAGATTCGAATCATGGATCGAAAGTTATTCAGGATGGTCCGTTTTTAATTTTCAGTACTGTTTTCAAAAAATAAATTTTTTATTTATGAATGCTTATCTAATTTATTGGTACTGCACTTACGTAAGATAGTTTATCGATTATACTGGCAATAAAATAATTACAGTCCTTGGCCAAATTATTAGACGCACTATGTAAAATCTTAATTGGGTATAATATAAAAAAAACGCAACTACTTCCACTTAGTAGGAATAACATTTACCATGACGCAATGCTAAATTCTATGCCACTATCCACATAAATGCCACTATCCACATAAATCAATTATTAATCAAAAATCGAATATCAATTACTTTTCTTTATAATGCAATAAAATCTGGCGAGCAGCTATTTAAACGATCAAACACTTCGTTTGTTTATTTGTGGCTTGAAGTTAGGCTCGCAGAAAATGCCGTTCATGGGTTAAATTTAGTAGGAATAACACAACCTGTGACGTAGGCTATAGTATACCCAATTATCATGTAATACTATACAGCTTTATTGTCTTTACGCAACTTAAACTGGTTTGCACTTGTTTACGTTCGTGTATTAATTGGTTAAATTAGACGATACATAATATAAATTTTACGATTGGTTAAGTTGGACAATTATATTACATAACTATATAATATTTAGTATATCAGCTATTATATTAGTATATTTTAATAATTCGATCAAATTACGAGACGCACTGTAGTTTTTTAATAATGACATGTTTTGCACTAGTTTATATTCAATACTTTTATATTTAAACATACATGTAATGGATTTTTATTCAAGAGATTCTTCATGTACTTCCTATTTGTATTTATTTTTAGCGTTACGATGTTAACCAATTAATACACTAACGCAAATAAGTGCAAACCGGTTTCAGTCGTGTGTAAACAATAAAGCTGTATAGTATTAATTTATAATTAAGACTTTACATAGAATAAATACATAGTGCGTTCAATAATATGTCCAGGGACTGTACACCAACAATAATGTAACAAAATTTTTTTCCTTTGAGGAGCATTTTTATACATATCTGGTTTATAATGCTTTCATTATTTTAAACATAATTTAGTACTAAGGAAATATTTGAGCCTTATTGACGATTAAAAACATTTATTCGTATTGACTAGGTCCGAATTATCTAAACCTTTGAAAATGGTAAACAAGAATTCAAACTCGTGTCTCATAATTCGATTTCTTTTGGTCTCTCTTCCCTGCCAAAAAGAATATTACAATTTTGTTCCCTATTTTTATAGATATTTTTGTATGTCTGTTGATAAATTAACATCAATATAAAATGTTAAGATAATTATTAGTGTAAGCATTTCTTGTTGATACTATTTATCTATTGTATTCTTGATCGCTAATTTCTTGTTTGTTGATATCATTATTTTTCTGTTGATAAACAAACATTTACATTGTATATTGAAACATTTTGTTCAGTATTATGTGTAAAAAGCATAAAAAAATTTATTATTGTATATATATAGTTTGATGATACGAAAGAACGTCACCTCTGAAAAAAGCATGACTTATATTCCCCAAGACACTGATCCAGTTCAATCTCCCAGCTGAATAATTTCATTCTTCATTAATGTATACGATACAATAGATAACGTCACATGACTTATTTTCTGAGTTGAGGCTACAAAAGTGTTTCAGACTATCTGCAGTTTATTGCCATGAAAATTACACTATTTCATTTAATCCTACGAAAGCTAAAACAAATTATTCTTCTCAAATTGTTCCAGTTTTGTAAATTTTTATGGATTTTATTGAACTCGATTGTTTGGATTATATTGATTACTTTGTAAATTTTATCGAAAAAAAAAATGGAAAGCATTTATGAAATATTATCGCTTCCCAGTTTTGTTTTTAGACTTTGTACAGCTGTTAGCAGACTTTGAAGTTATTATTTGTTATACTTCATGTCACTTGAGTTTGGATCCGTATAGATGCGTTTGACTCCAGCACCGTTGAACTCAAACTAGTTTACCAGGTTCATGAATTGGACTCATCATGAGTGTTAAGTGAAGGGGTTTTCAAGTTTTTGGAGTTTGGCATTGCTAATAGTTGTGCATCTAATGTATATATTCTTTTGTTGACTACAGGATATGGAATAGAATATTTGGTTTAATCAGATAATATAAATTATTTCTTTTTGCAGATGATGATTGGAAAATGAAAGCTTAAGTAAGGGCAATCAATGAACTGAAATAATGGAAGCAGAAAATTTACAAACTCATTACACAACTGCCATGGAGACTCTTCAAAATTTAATAAAAGACGCAAGCTCCACCAAGCAACGGAAAACTCTGGAAGAAGTTCAAAAAGCCATTTGTCGTGCAATGGAGAATGATAGGAAAATGGTTACTCATTGTCGGAAATTGAAGTCAGAGATAGCGTCGAATTCTTCAAAAATTAAAGCTGCTGTTCAGCTGTCCGAAGAGGACAAAACGACGATAGATACCTTAAAGGAAGAGTTAGATAAAGCGTGGCTTTTTATAAAAGAACTGAAATCAGATAACAGAAGAGTGTCTAAGCTGCAAAGCGATTCTCCATTGGTGTTAAACGATCATTCATCAGATGATTCCACGTCTCAGTATGAAATACAACGAATGAAAAACGAACGAAAGACAATGCTTTGTGAGGTACATAAATTAAAAACTTGTCTCGAAAAAGAAACACAAACTGTGACTCGTCTACAGGGAGAGAATTCTATGCTGCTGCAAAAAATAGAGAACACAAAAAATTTTCTGAATGAAAGAGCTCGGATGAAGTTGCAACTTGAGTCAAATGCAAAACAAATGCAAACGATGGAAGTAGATTTAGAGGCAAAGAAGAGAGAAAACGTGAGACTCTCTCAGGAGAATGAGAAGTTCAAGTTGCAAGTTTTCGAATTAGAGGAAAAATTAGTCAACAAAGAAAAACTATGGACCGAACAATCTTCTGTCAACTATACAGAAAGCGATGATAAAGAGCAATTCGAATGCAATGCCGCAGAATTGAGTGATACACAGATTAAAATGGACAAGAAACTAACGGCTACGAAATGGGAGAAGAAATTTAGAAAATTACAAAATCGTTTTAAAAAGATTAACCAATTGTATAAAGTCAGTAAATCTAATGTAATCCAATTCAACGTCAGCTTTCAAAAAATGACGCGAGTGTTGAATGGTACCAAGGCAGAAAATGTTCGATTGCGTCAAGAATCATCGGATAAAACGCGAGAAATTGAAGCACTTAAGAGTCAAAAAGATGAACTACTAAGTGAAAGTAGCAAACTGTCTCTTGCTACGAAGTTGCTGGAGGAGTTAAGAGACAAGTACGTTAGTAATATTGGAAAACTAGAAGATGAACGGCATATTTTGAGGGAGAAGTTAGCAAAAATTGAATCTTGCAAGTATTTAGATACCATCGGAAATTTAAAAACGGAATTAGCCTCTATGGAAGCAGACTTGCAGTCTGAACGAATATCTGTTACTCAATTTAAGACGGATCTAATGAAAACAAAAAATGAACTCCAAGAAATTAATGAGATTCAAAAAGAAAATGAAGAAACTGTAGCAAAAATACTTTATGAGATTGATAACGAATGTTCTAAAATTCTAAAAAGTAAAAATTTAAGAGAGGGCTCGCAAATGAATTTAAATCCTTCCATCCAAAAATTAGAACAGAATGTTTTGATTATAATTGAGTATTTAAATGAATTGGCTCAAATTAATAAAAAACTGACTGATGAAGTTAATAAGTCGAAAAAGAAGGGTTTTTCAAAACATAAGAAAAGTAAACACTCGTTAGATGAAATATACCCGAAATCAGAAGACATTCAGAACAGTAAATGCTCGTTAGATGAAATATACCCGAAATCAGAAGATATTCAGAACAGTAAATGCTCGTTAGATGAAATATACCCGAAATCAGAAGACGTTCAGTACAGTAAACACTCGTTAGATGAAATATACCCAAAATCAGAAGACCTTCAGTCAAATGCGTCTTCAGTTTGTGAGAATGATGAAGCAGATGATGTCATAGAAGGTGCCGGAGCGGAGAAAATCAATGTATTGACGAATTCACACATTGTTCCCCAAACTGAATTAAGTGTTTATTTACTGGGTAATTTGGAACAATTCCAGAAGGAAAAAGAACTGAAACCAGGTTTTGGGCGAGTTTGTGATACAACGCCATCGAATGAAGAAATATTTGCTGATGATTCCGAGAGCAGTGAATGTGAGTTTTCGTTACACACAAGCAAAGAAGACTCTTCATCGAAAAGTTATCCTTCGGTTGGAACATCGGTCTCCGAATTCGACAACAACAGATTATTCTTCGAGAGTGGTGAGTTAGGTGAAAGCGAGAGTGATCAGTTTACTGAAAAGAAAAGTAATTTTGCTGATGTGGACTTCGGAAAAAATTTCCTAGATTTAGATGGTTTAAGAAAATTTAAAGACTTGCAGATTGTAAGACATGCTAGTTCGAAAAAGAAGCAAACAGGTTCAGGTAGATTCAGGAAATCGAAAGATTCTGAGATTATAAAAGAAATTAGTTCGAAGAAAAAAGTAGATACAGATAGTTTCAAGAGATCAAAAGATTTACCGAAATTATTAAAGGATAGTTTGAGGAAGCAAGCGGACGTTGTCTCTATTAATGAAGTGGTGGATAATACAAGATTGAAAGCATTCAGAAATATGTACGAAAATAAGACACATAAAAAGAAATTGAACAATTTATTTCTCAGCCTTAAAAAAGTTTAAAATCTTATCTAGCAACATTTATAAGAAATTAATATTTGTTTTACATAACATATTTCCTCCAAAAACAGTTATGATATAAGAATGGATTAATTAGGAATGGGAATTAAAATTTTTAACAGTTAAGAAAAATATGACAAAAAAAATCTTCTAAATTTAATAAAAGACTGATTTAATATTTACATGGACTCTTTCTTTGGCTAAAAATGAGTCTTTCGTCTACAAAAAATTATATATAAATCTCTAGATTTTTATATCACTTTCGTAAAATTAACTAAGCATTTTCAATTATTAATTTAAATATTACAGCGAACATGAACTATTATAATAAACTGAAATAAATGCCAATCAAATTTGTGAATATGTTGAACTTCTCAATAGGAACATTTGGGTCGTGATTAATTCTTTTATTAACAAATTTATAAATTGATTTGAAAAAAAATTTTTTTTTCCCTAACTGATTTGTGAATTGAGCGTGGATTGTCACAAAAGCGGAAACTTGAAAACTTCCGGTGTATCCTTCCGCTTATGTTATGAGTACCATAGATGTTATGATTACCATAGATGTTATGATTACCATAGATGTTATGATTACCATGATTACTATATTAGTCCCTGTGATTACGAAATAATTGTGCGAACAGGTTTGATGTTCTAGAAAGATTTATTACAGAGATTTGTAATTAATTTGATCGTTATTTTACCATTTATAAAATTTTTCTGCATTTTATCAATTTTAAAAAAGCCATAAATCTACTTGTAAGGAAATTAATATCACTACAGAAATAAAGTGTTGCCTTATTCTGTGTGTTATATTCAGTTTTTTATATTTTCAACTGAAGTTACAAATTAAACGGTAAAAAAACATAAGTCGTATTCTTAACAGTACAAGTACAATACCAATGTAGGAATGCGGAGTTTTTAAGCTGAGACGCATAAATAAATCGGAAATAGTACCCGGAGGTGCTATTACCGCAAGCGCCTCCCGCACACAGCTTTCCACGGTAAACCATTCATAATATTGCTATATTTGATTTATAATAAAAGTATTTATCAATTTTTTTCATAACCGAGGCAGAAGTCCTTAGAATTTTTAATATTTTTCTGAAGGCTTAGAACGTTTAGCATACATAATTTTTTTTTCTTCAAAATTTAAATGTAACATAAAATTACTGTAATATTGTTTTTATTTTCCTTAGTTCTAGAAAGTTCTACATACGCACAAAATATCAATATAAACTATGATTTTTAGAATATAAAATGATTGTAGTGACGCTTTCCCTGTTGACAGTGTTCGCAAAAGATTTATTTCCATCAAAAAAAATTCAACGGTCAGTTACATATAGTTTGTTTGTTGAAAGAACTTTCCTTTGCCATTCGTCTGGAGCACTGTCTGTGACCATGGTTATGAGATTGAACTACTTCAAGGTAAGAGAAGTATCAAAACCTCTCTTCTCTTAAATGTTTCCATAGTAGCAGATGACTCCAGACTCTGTTTTTCGGAGTTCTTCAGACAAACTGTAGATGCCGAGCCGTGGTAGCTCAGGGGATAGAGCATTCACCTTCCAACGAGGTGACCCGAGTTCGAATCCCAGTGATGGCTGATCGAAACGAATTCTACTAGCGGCTTGCATCCAGATAGAGCGAAGTTAAGAGAAAGATGGCAAACGGTCAATGAATAGAATGAAAGATATTTGACTGATTGAAATTCATTTATTTTTTGTTTTAAAAAAATGAGTTTTTATTTCGCACTGAAATTACCCACTCTGTTTTTTGTATTGAAAATGTGTTTTTTTTACTTCGCACTGAAGAAAAAAAAACGAAATTACTTTCTTGCCAACTTTTTTTCCAACCCAATACGAGGGTTGCTATTTATATTTCTGGCCTAATAATGAAAAAACAAATATGTAGGATCGAAATTGGTTTCATTGTTTTTCAAAATATTCTCCATGATGATCAATACACTTTTGCATGCGTTTGAACCAATNAACTGAAATAAATGTTTACCAAATTTGTGAATATGTTAAACTTCTCAATAAGATCTTTTAGGTCGTGATTAATTCTTTTCTTAACAAATTTATGAATCGATTTAAAAAAAAAATGTAAATTTTTTCAACTGATTTGTGAATTGAGCTTGGATTGTCACAAAAGCGGAATCTTGAGAACTTCCGTTGTATCCCTCCGCTTATGTTATGTTTACGAAACGATTGTGCGAACAGGTTTGATATTCTAGAAAGATTTATTACTGAGATTTGTATTTTAGTTTGATCGTTTTTTTACCATTTATAAAATTTTTCTGTATTTTATCAATTTTAAAAAAGCGCGAGCCATGAATCTATATGTAAGGAACTTAATATCACACAGAAATGAGTTTTTTATATTTTCAACTGAAGTTACAAATTAAATGGTAGAAAACATAAGTCGTATTCTAAACAGTACAAGTAAAATACCAATATAGGAATGCGAGTTTTTTAAGCTTAGACGCATAAATAAATCGGAAATAGTACCCGGAGGTGCTATTACGAATTTTTACCGCAAGCGCCACCCGCACACAGCTTTCCACGGTAAACCATTCATAATACTGCTATATTTGCAGAGATGCCAACTGCTCCGGACAAGCCAAAATAATTTAAAAAACGGTATATAACTTCAAACTAAAATGTGCAAATATTTGACTAACTTTGCTTACTTTTTTATAAGTTTAGCTTGACTTATCAACAACTAAATGGCAAATTATATAACCCTTCGAATTATTTAGAAATAGTGGTGGATAAAAGCCTAATAAATTTAATTTTTTTAAACCGAGAATCGTAATTAATAAATACCACTCGAAAGTATTTATTCGCTGTCCGGAGCAAGTTGGCATCTCTGTATTTGATTTATAATAAAAATAATTATCAATTTCTTTTCATAACCGAGGCAGAAGTTCTTATAATTTTTAATATTTTTCTGAAGGCTTAGAACCTCTTCAAAATTTAAATGTAACATAAAATTATCGTAATATTGCTTTTATTTTCCTTAGTTCTAAAAAGTTCTACATACACACAAAATATTAATATAAACAATGTTTTTTACAATATAAAATGATTGTAGTGACGATTTCCCTGTTGACAGTGTTCGCGAAAGATTTATTTGCATAAAAAAAATCCAACGGTCAATTACATATAGTTTGTCTATTGAAAGAACTCCCATTTGCCATTCGTCTGAAACACTGTCTGTGATCATGGTTAAGAGGTTAAACTACTTCAAGATGAGAGAAGTATCAAAATCTCGCCTCTCTTAAATGTTTCTATACTAGCAGATGACTCCAGACTCTGTTTTTGAGAGTTCTTCAGACAAACTATAGATGCCGAGCCTTGGAGGCTCAGGGGATAGAGCATTCGACTTCCAATGAGGTAACCCGAGTTCGAATCCCAGTGATGGCTGATCGATACGAATTCCTCACGCGGTTAGCATCAACGACAGTGCTGACGTAAAATGTCCTCAGTTACGACAATTAGAGTTATAACTCTAATTTGTTAGTAGTGCATATAGTAAGCTTGACTGAATAGGCGTATACTGTACTTACCCACACCGTTTGTAATACGATATTAATAGCAATAAGTTATTAATAGTAATTTTTCGTTAAAATTATAACTTTATTTAAATATTTTTTTGTTATTTCATATACTTTCAATATAGTTTTTCATACTTTCTGAATTATACAATCCTTTGGCAACGTGATAGCTTTTCTTTCCTATGTCGATTTTAAATTTTGTTGTTCGGGGTTGTTATAATATATGTTTTTTTATATATATGTTTTGTTGCATAAATGGTCACACTTTTTTTCAATATTTTAGAACCCTTCTCTTTCCTTTCGTGTCACGCTATATCCTTTTGTCAAACGTCATTTTATAGAATATGATATAAAACAAATGAAGTAAAAAAAACATAATTTATTTGCTTTTCTTTTCATCCTATAAATAAATGATATAAACGGATTAATGTTTTATTGCAACATAATTAAACTTCGTTCAAACACTATAAACTAAATCACATGATTTAGAGGCATGATTAGATTACAACCGCAGAATTAAACTTATGTAAGTAGAAAATTATTAAATTTTGCACTAATAAGTACTTAAAAATTTACTCTATTATCGAAAGTATGATGTTCGATTCATTAAAAATAATTCAGAATGATGCAAAGGACACGTTATTTTTCTTACAATATCCAAATTTACATTTTGCATGGACCTTGTGTTGAAAGAAGTAATTAACTATCGTTGAAAATCAAAAATATAATTACTACGTAATATTAAAGAAAAAAGTTTATTGGTGTTTTGAATGTTTTGTGATTAACAGAGAAGACTAATGGGAAAGTAATGATGATTGGAGACTGATACCGATCAAAAAATGTTTTGTTAACTCTTACAATATCTATTATAATAGGTTTTTAAAAAAATTATGTGCAATAAATCACGCAAAGAGTGTTCGTTAAAAGCGAAATGTTTTAAACTTGGCATAAATGACATAAGTGTAAAACCATTCAAGTTTATATAAATGTGAGTATTATTAATTTTTATATTCCAAATATTAACTCAGCTCTTTAAAAACTTGTAGATGCAATAAAATTTTTTTTTTTAGAAAAATTACTTTATTAACTTTTTGACGCAGAATTCCTATTTTTCATACGTTTTGTATTATTTTATTTTAATTTAGGTGAAAGTATACGAAAAATTAGATATTTAGACTTTTTAATAATGTATGGTTATGAGATGTATGGTGCCTTTTTTATCGTTAAAGATAAAATTTTCCTATTCACGGCTCATTTCTAAACAAATTCAACATTTTTCAAATTTGCTCTTATTTGCAGTCATTTCTATCTAAGATAAAATGCTCTTTATCATTAAAATTAATTTGCAAAATTCAATTATTTATAAATTTTTGAATATGAATGAAAAGAAGAAAAAAAAATTAAACTACTTTTTCGGATTTTATATTTTAGTGGAAATATAATTCCGCGAACCTTTATAGTAACTATTTGACTATTTTTCATAATTAAAAAAACTAAAATATATTTTTACTTGTCATTAGAACTGCAGAAAAAAATATATAAAAGTGACACCAGTGTCCTATC